GCGGGCACCGAGCCGCGCGGGCCTGAGGCGGCGGCGGCGCGGCGCTGCCGCCCCCTGGCGGCCGGGAGGGGATCTGCCCCGTGAGGGGCTCCGTGTGCCGTGTGGGGCTCCGTGTGCCGTGTACGGCTCCGTGTGCTGTGTGCGGCTCCGTGTGCGGCTCCGTGTGCTGCAGCACAGCGCGCTGGGCTGCCGGCCCCGAGAGGCAGCGTGTCTGCCGTGCGCCACGGTCACGGAATCGCGGATTCCGTTAAGTTGGAGAAGACCTGTGAGGTTATGGAGTCCAGGCTGTGGCTGAACACCTTGTCCACCACACCATGGCACCGAGTGCCACGTGCAGTCTTTCCTTAAACACCTCCGGGGACGGTGACTCCACCACCTCCCTCCCTGGCAGCCCGTCCCTAATGTCTAATCGCCCCTTCTGCAAAGGAATTTCCCCTAATGTCCAACCTGACCCTCCTCTGGAAGGGAGCAGTGGGTCAAGGCTGCATCTCAAGGTACTTCTGACAAACTCACTTAACAAATTCAAGCTCCTTATCTTTATCTCCAAGGTACCCCAGATGCCAGGGCTTGGTCTGGAAGCCTCAAGGCTCCAGGAGAAGGGCAGTAGCTGGCAGCCTGTCTGGGATCTGCCTGAGCTGATGGAGGGAGACTCCCTAAGCCAGAACTTTTTGCTCCACTGTCCAGGTGTAAATCCCACTTTTCCATTCTCACCTTCTCTACTACGAGGTGTCTCTGGGGCATATATATTTCTCCTTGGCCACCTCCTCCTCCCCAGGTCCTGCCTAAATATAAAACATAATGTGCTGTGCCTCCCCTGAAAGGGAGGGTGAGGGAAAGAGCAAATGGTGTGTAACAGAGGAGAGCCACATCACTTCACACAATTCTCGACACCAGATATGACAGTGATAGAACTGAACAGGAAGAAAAACAGAAGCTCTGGACTGGCTCACTCTGTGCCAATCTCCTCTTGTTCATTTCCTTTCTGAGATAAACAACCCCAATCATTTTCATCTCTCTGTGAGCGAATTTACCATGCCCCTAATCAGCCCTTTCTGAGAAGGGCTTACTTGAACTGCAGACAGTATTCCCTGAGAGGCTGCGCTAGTCATTTACATAATAGCATTATCATATTTTCCATATTATTCCCTCCTTCTTCCTTCTGCATGCTAATATTTTGCATGTGCTTTTTTTTTTTTTTTAACTTGAAGCTACTCTCAGAGCCAGGTTTTTTGTGACACCCATATTATTTCTTGGGTTGCTAGAGAACATCTGGAGCTTTGTAATTCTTATGTGCAATTTGTTTTCCCTCTTTTGACCTTGCACATACCCAGCTGATCCTTGGCAAATATGTGGTGTTCCCCATTTGCCACATTTGCATTTTACTCAGTCCTTTTTGATCTCCTCAAGAGTCAGTAGCTTTGAGTCAACTTTTAAAAATGTTCGGTATATTGCTCATCTTTGTTTCCAGATCATCAGTTCCTATACTGGGCTATCCAAGACCTTGGAGGCAGCATTCATATTCCCTACTCTTAACCTGCTGCCAGAATGAAAATCGATCTTTCACCCTTCCTCCTGGCTTCCTGTCTCCTCCTTGGCGTGTTAATCCTCAGAAATACCTCCCTTCTCACAGGCGGGCTCTGTCACCCCCGGGCAGGTGTGCTGATGAGCCCAGTCCCCAAAACTCTCAAGTCTGGATCAAAACTTAAGCAGCCACATGTGGCAAACCCCTGGTGCGCAGTGATGGACTTCCCTGCTGCGCTCCTGCCACGGCAGCCAAGCACTGCCACCTTGGGTTGTGCCTGTTTTGGCTTTTCTCTCGGTTCTGTCCCCGGTACCCTCGCCAGCAGCTGTGTGTGCACACTGAGCGCTCCTCCACCCGCTCTGTGCAGTGTCTCCAGGTGCCCCAGCCCTGTGGGGAGTCACTGCTGTGCCCGCGGCCCCGCCGGGGCTGCCCAGGCCTGCGCTGTGTGGGCAGGGCCTCCGCCTGCCCCTTCTCCCATGCAAAGAGGAGGGTGAGCGCCAGGGCCGAGTGACCCGCTCCAGCTGCCCTGCGACTGCCCGACCTCTGGTGACATGCTGGGGGTTGTACCTTTGAGCTCGGCCTTCAGACAGTGAAGCAGGATCCCCCGTCTCCAGGGCTTCCCAAACTCCGCTGATCCGCTGCTCGCAGCTGCTGGGACCCACCCGGCACCCCAAATACTTGTGCTGCCCTGAGGGCCCCAGGGCCCCGCTGCCTGCAGAATCCTGTTGCCCATGGACTCACTGGGAATGGGGTTCCCCCTGTGATTCCAGCCTGTATCCCTATGTGAAAGGGAATTTACTTGCTCTGACAGGGCCAGGTGCAGGCAGAGCAGGGAGCAGACCTTTGCTGTGCTCCTGGAGAACAATAACAACCTTTGTTTCTCGAAATGACCAAGTGAGCTTGAAATTTCAAAGGCAGCATGTGTGACAGGGCACAGTAACCCCTGCTGTTACCTGGAATGAGGTGTCCCCTCCTGTCCCCCCCCTCCTCAGGGGTCTCTGGAGCTGCCACTCCTCTGCTGGTCTTCTCATGCTTGCAGCCAGTCCTCCCATTCCAGCAGCCACTGCCACAGGCTTTGATGGCCACGAAAACCAGCAAATGGCTGCCCCTGAGCCCAGCTTGCAGCTTCTGCTCCTGGGAGCCAAAGTGCCATGCCCAGGGCTTCCCACCACCCATTCTGCAAGGGCAGGACCATTCCAAGTCAGGGTGACATCCCTGTGCTGCCTGTCCCCAGCCAGCAAACCCTCCCTGGCCAGCAGGGGGGTGAATGTGAGCCTCAGAGCTGCAAATGACACCTTGGAGGGCTGTGCAGGCACGGGAAACAAACTGTGCTTCAAAGCAGAAGGCTGGTCTCTTAGAGGAGCCAGAAAGCAGCTCTAAAATGCGAGGGGGGAAATGGATAGTGACCCACCAATGGTATCTGAGCGTAAGCTTAGTATCTTTAGTATCTTCTAGTAAATGGACCTGGTAGGAGGCCTTTTGGCAGTCTCAGCCCCGTTCAACAGCTCTCTCTTTAGCTGCAGCTCTGTCTCTTTACTTTTCTTGAGCAGTCGTGAGGATCAATGGCATTTGAGATCCTGCTCTCCAGATGTGACAAGCCAGGAGGGGCGGAGGCCCAAGGGTGGCACACGTGGCTTCATTCCCTGAAGCCCCAGCAGCTTTGATGTTGAGTGCATGTGGGAATACAGGTGGTGAGGGAGGAGAGACCACTGGGACACAGCCACCTTTCAAGGAGCATTCCTGATTTAGAGCTGAGAGCCACATTTTAGTAGGGACAGTAAATACCTGATCTGGGAAGCCATGCTCAGGGTGTGTTTTTGACAAGGGGAAAAAGGGGAAGGTCCCAGCCTTGCTGCAGCTGAAGTGGGGCTTTTCAGGCCTCCCGACTTCCATCCTGCAGTGCAGGGGGCTGCAAACACTGCCAGCAGCGAGTGGTCTCCTGTGTGAAGCAGAGCTGCTGTCCCCTTGGGGTTGCACTGACAGTCACTGAGGCAGCTGTTTTATTACCTAACACATTGAAATTGCTTCTGTAGTACTTTTACAATTGGCCTGTGCCCACCTTCACTCCCAGCACAAACTCATGTTTCTTCAAACAGATTTCTCCATGGCTGGGTTTGTAGGGGACTTTTCTCATTATTCCCTGACTAGTAAGATTCCATCCCCCAGCCTCCCCCACTCCATTTTTCACTTTGCACCAGCTGCATGCTGCAGGAGGTTTACAGAGCCATTCAGAGACCCTGCTTTTGTGAGTGCTGTTGTCCTTGCAATCCTGCATCCCTACGGCAGCCCGTTTTCTGCAGGGGAAGTGTCAGCAGAGAGCAGAGGGCTTGCAGCTGGTGGTACCACCTGCCTGAGCTGAGCTGCACATGCTGACCTCAGGCTTTCTTGTGCTCTTTCACCTGCTGTGTGTTGGGATGAGGCTCTCTCAGCATGAACATGGGATTTTTGTTTGTGTAAAGGTATCCTGGACTCCAGCATTGGGTATGGTTTGGTCCCATGTACATACAGACCACCTGAGAAGGACATGGCTGTTGTATCCTGCTGCTTCTCCTCTTTTTCTAAGCAAAAGCACCAATTGCACACCTTGCCCCAGTAAGTCACAGGCCCTTAGATTTATTTTTGTCCCATTTACCTGGTTTTGGTTTTGCCATGGTCTGACATTCACTTCTAGGTAACAGTTTGAGACAAAAGCTTTAAAAACACTGCGAAGCAAAATGAAGTGGGTAGATGTTTTCTACATTCTTTTATTTTTGTGTGTATGCCTGGTTCTCAGTAAGTGTCTGAGGGGGAAAATATATATATATATAACTGATGATTTGTTGCTCTCTCTCTCTTTGGAAAAAGTCCAGACTGTAGAACAGGGCTAAAATGCCAGGAAAGAGTTTTCTGCATAGAGGCAGGCTTATGTTATTTTATTTTATGCATTCCTTGGATAACATTTTCTTTAATTTCAGATCCTGGAGAAGTCATTTCAGATCTTTATTCAGCACAGCTTATTTGCTCTTCTTCTCAGTTTTCCTTATTTTTAGAAAGGTGAAGTGTGTTCCCAAATTAAATCGTTACTGGGATGGACTTCAGCCAAGAGGATCCATTGTTCAAGCCATAAGGCACAGGAAACACAAGAGTAAAACAATGGAGTTTTATACTGTGTTTCATTTGGCAGGGTGAGGAGAGATATGGCCTTGAAAGATTTGTATTCTTACATAGCTGTAATATATTTTAAAAGACAGTAAGAACTATTTTAACTTCTCACTTTGCTTAAAAAAAATAAGCACACACAGAAATGCTGAAAATGTTGGGATTGCCAGATGCTCCTTAGTTCCAAGTAAAGGTTCATGTCTGGGGATCTCAGAGATGCATACAGTAATGTCCCAAACATTAGCTGAAGAGGGCTGATCCTTTACCTTTTTGCTGATATGCTTGTCCCTGCTGCAGCTTCAAAGGCAGAGCTTGCAGCAACCTGGCC